ATATCCATGTAGCGCAGGTACGGGCTATATGATGCAACAATCGATTACCTCGTTGCTAATGGATAATAGCCTGTTTTAGCACATGAAAGTCATCAGTGCTGTTCCAGGTACCAGAAAGAAGGTTAATGCCGTTCCAACAGGCAATGAGGTCTATGGTAGGTAAGTCTCAGGTTTACTGCATTTGCAATAAGGAATCAAGAGGAGCAATAAAACATAACTGGGTAGAAAGTTTACATCTGCAGTGCTACAGGTGTCGAGATATTCTGCTCAAAAATTGTGTTATACATGCTGCGGAAATAATGTTTACTGAGAAAAACCTGTTTACCAACATGAATAAAATTCTCACCATCTCAATGTCAGATACCCAGAATATATAAACAGGTCACGGCTCCATGAATGACAACAGTACTTATATGCGTGGTACAACGACCGAATCGATTTTTAAAGTCGGTATGAAAACTCTGGACCATACTGGCATTGGAAATATTGAGTACAAACAGTCAAGCATTCTTATACGTATTAAAACCGATGAAATGCAGAGAGCGACTGTTAGTTAAGAAACAATACGGATATGCGGTGCGATAAATTCCCCTCCTCCCCCGACCCAAAATATCACTACTGAAAGTGTATATAGCATAATTTAACGATGAAGGAGGCATGAACTGAAATTTCACAATAACTGAATCATTTGATTTACCAATATTTACCATTGTAGCAAGCACACAAACATACCAAAGTGTGAACAAAACAATATAGCTGATTTTTCAAGAATAAAAGATGGCAATTACCGTCTTTGTGCCTCATATAGGCGACGCATTGGGCTTTGATGCACAAGCAGATACGTTCTTCGACAGGACCTTGAGAACGTGATGAGCTGCACAGGTATTCGTAGGCATAGTTCAGCTTTTCGAACATATCCTAAAATAACAGCAACTTAAAAAAATCAAGAAACAGAGTAATGAAATAAATATATACAAATGACACGATAATAAAATGACTCGTTTCGCTAAAATGAAAGTCTACTGAACGTTGAGAATCAAGCTGATAGGTGAAAGGCAGCAAAAAATGATTCCAGAGAGTTGGAGTAGCATCTCTATTCTTTCATGACTAATAATTGAAATACGATCACGGTTAAAAACAAAACGTTATCTGCATGAGTAACCGGCAGCTCATTCCACTGTTCCAACGACGGCTACAACAAAACGGTTCAAAATCTGCGTGTACATGTCAAGGTTTTAGATCTCTGTTTCAATTCATTTACATTCGCATTAGCCGTTGATGCCGTCTAACACTAAAATTATAGATTCTGTTACATTGGTTTCGTTACCATGATCCTTACACTTCACATAACACAAAAATGATATGCAAAAGATTAACAGAAGTAGAATTTAGAAAGAAAAGAATGGTAAAAACAAGATGAGATATATGCAAACATGAAAAACATTTTTAAAAAATAATTAGTTTTCAGAAACAGTTTAAGTGGACAAGCAAGTTTCTGTCAAATTTGACGGGGCAACTCCTCACGCCCTTCCTTTCATGAAGTTAATGGTGGACAGTTGATCTCCATTTTGAAGCCATCAGCCAGGAGCGCCTTATTTTAAAGACAGAGTCGACCGCAGTTATGTTACAAACGGAGTGTGTAGTTTTCCGTGTTTTTCCCTCCAAGCGATACTCATATATTACCCTTAGAATGAAGAAAGGCGAATGACCTGGAAGGGCTCTCAACTATTACCTCTCAATTCGAGGTAGACTCTCTGCAAAAAACGGCCTAATGACGAAACAACGTAATAAGTGCAAACTTACTCTTCCATCAGCGTTTTTATCAGGATGGTATTTTGAGGCAAGACGAAAATAAGCACGCCTAATTTTATTCCTATCCCTGAAACGAAAGAATCATTACGAGTCAATCGTAACGTGCTAAAAAAAATACTGTAGCATTTCTGACTTCAGATGCAGGACCTGGCAGGCAGCTTCTACCGACATTGAACAGCCTTTTCTGTCCAGTTCGGCTTTCAACGTTATCAAACAGCACTTCAAGAATTCCACCTTATATTGAAAAAGCAGAAAGTCATTAATCAACAAAGTCGCTGACACTATTACCGGTTGATTTATCGGCCAATCAGGAAATTTCGTAACATTGCACAAATGCCGAAGATAATAAATATGACAAAAGATTTCTGATTCTAACTGCGGATACTGTATCAGAGGAATCGGACAAAACTGGTAGGATGCCTTGACGTTACTTGGTAGACGCGTGGTAAAATCAGCAATGTGCAACGCTAATTTCTCCATCATATGCTGCCTAAATAGTTTCAGATTCCTTAACACATAAGAACAAATAAGTAATAAATTAGAGTAAATAGCAAATAATAAGCAGCAAATAACATTTCAAACAACAACATTAAGATTTCAGTTACTTAAATATTATCTGTGGAAATTTATCGCCATTAGAAGCCCAAGGATAACTAAAAACCGGACAACAATCGCGAGACGTCACTTTTCCTTGCACTGCGGTCATTTGCTGCCACTTCTGACACCCGTTCATGGAGATAATAGTTCTGGGCCAATTTCTGTTCCTGTGTCATCAGCTGGAGAATCATGTAAATATTTTAAAGCCATACATACAGCTTAGTGAACACAACAGCACGTATCACCTGTTTCCTTCATTTGACGTGCAACTCATCTATCTACTTCAGAAGCATGAAAAGCACGGAGATTTAAATGTGAGTCTCCAAAAAAAGAATGGGAAGTTGGTAACTGCTAGAATGCCGGTTTCATTATAAGGATATTTCAAGCCCCCTTCTTTCATGAACTTAATGGTGTGGCGTTGATCGCCATTTCTATCTTATATGGTAATGAGTGCCGCATTTCTAAAGGCAGAATTAACAGCAGCTATGTCGAAAGAATATGAGTAAATGCATGTCTATTTCCTACAGATTAGAACTCATGTCAACATCAGAATAAAGAAAGATGAGTGACCCATACACATAACAAGATTTACGACGAATGACTTCTTTATGATATGACGACCCAACATACAACTTTATACACGTTGTCTGCTTACCCATATGATTGAAACACTTTTAGAAACGGCTACGATTGGAACGTAACTGCGTTCATCACAACGTTCACCAGGCATGGCAGGGCACCTTATATTTAACATTCTCCTAAACAGTCTCTTTAACAGTGCCTTAAATGAGGCTACTTGTCATGAGTTGCGACAGTAACATAAAATGCTTCGCAGCATTCTACGACCTAACGAAAACTGCATCAAGATCTGACGAAAGAAACAGGATTTTGCTTTAATTTACTTTAGGAATTGTAAACTTACTAGAAGCGTTTAATAAATAGTTATACTTTCCCGATAAACCGATTCGTGTAAAACGTTTATAAAACTTAACTTCCTGCTCCATTTACATTCTCAATACGTCACAAAAAAAAACAAAATCGAAATAAGTTTCTCCACTGTTAGTGAACTGTCCCCCTGCTAAATACTTATCAACGTAGGTTTGAATATGAATCGAAAAGTCACAACTTGGTGCAAGACTGCAGTAGATCAAACAGAAACAAATGCAAAATATCTCATAAAACGAATAGCCATTACGAATAACGCATAATAATTTATTTGGGTATGAAAGGAGGCATCGATTCGTAGCCGGCTTGAATAATTGGTTAATACTCCTCGCAAACAGATCCAAAGTTCAAGGCGACAACTGAAATCTGCCCAGAAAAACAGGATTTTACATCGTCCTTTTGAAACATAGCCCTGAACGATGGACTGGGAAGCGTAGATAATTAACTGTAATAATTATTTATTAAATCCGAAGTCGAATTTAACACTGCTCAGCTTAAAAACGAAATAAACCCAATTGTTGTTTTGTTATAAATAAACCTTCCGTTTCTAAAAATTTATTGAAAAACAGTTCATGCAATTAACATATAGGGCCAAACAAATGAACTTACTTTACAAAGAACCTAACACAACACAACGCCATCTGATTTAACACCTTTGTGGTTTATAAGATACGATGCCATGAGTGCAATGAGTTCCATGTCGACATGACTAACGTAATGTAAGAACTTGCCCTATGAAACATTTAAGAGTATTTACAGGGTCAGAACAATTTTACTCTGCACAGGTTGAATATTTTGTCGTGCAAATTCACAAAATAAACAGCAATAACATGCAAATACTGTCCTGTTCATGTAATATGTCTTAAATATAATGACACTTATATTTAGTCCTCTATTACATAACGTTCGAAATTCAGCCACCACAAACCATTCGTAAGTGGCTAGGATTCCCACCTTAAAATATTTATAATAGTCATATTCAACCTGCCTCGCGCTCTTTTTGGAATGCTACTCCGCGACTTGATAAAAGTGACACAAGTTTAGTCGAAATTTCGCAGCTATGACTTCCAGAAAGCAAACCTCACAAAATGAACTTTTATGAAAGAATGATGGAAGGTATTTCGACTCTATGATTCTGTGCAATGCATGAATACTGGTCAGTCAAAAAAACAATTAATCAATCATACTATTACGTGACCTAGTTCAACACTGGGGAGTCGTCTTCAAAACATCGAAGATTTTCATATACCTCATTTCCGTGTTCCAGATGATCTCAGGATTTTCAAACTCGCCCAAAAACATCTCGGCATATTTTTCGGCATCGTAGTTGTCAATGCAATAAATGCTTGCCTCTGGCAACAGGGATAATAAAACACTGGGAGGACAACTGGAGCTGTCAACCTTAAACGGACATTTTGACGTATAACAATCACTATAAATGACTTACCATTTGACTACGAAACGCCTGCTTGGCATGAGCATACTTCAGGAATTTTGCCATTGGAAGAATATTAGAACCCGTATATAACAATACAAAAAAGAAAACGCCCGTAAGATATAACCGTGGAAGTACAGGATGGTCCTAGAAAATCGAATTATGGCAATATCATAAATACAATCACAACCACTCAACAAAACCACAAGACGACTAAACAGGTCAAATATAAAGCAACCAATACAGACTATAAAGCACCACCAGAAAGCAGCCATTACAAGATAAATTGTATACTGTTTCTGAATAATGAAAAGGTACGGATTTTGCCTTCGTTTTTCAACTTTGTAATAGAATATTTACAGGATTTCCTGCATCTAATCCTATCAGGTTTCGGCGATATTGATGAAGTGCATTTCTGGAAGCAAAATATTCTTATAATGGTTAAGGGGACAACAGAAAAAAGCTACTAAATAACAACGTCTCATTTGAGATGTTCGAGGCCATAAGCAGTGATGATATTCTATGACAAACATGTATGAGCTAGGGTGCGCTGAATTCCGAAAAAGTATCAAAACTATAAATTCTGGAAAGTCATTCCTGTGATAAAAATGGATCAGAAAGATTGTCCCAACTATTGAGGACACGCGTATCACTACTGGATTATATGCATCGGAAGGAGCTGTTAAAGGATAATAAGTAGAAAGAGTAATGTGACCACCGTTCAGGTCATAGCATTGTAAACCAGATCTTTACGCGATGGCAGTTCTGGGATAAATGCTAGGAATATGTGAGAATAACTGTCTGATTCTTAAACTTGATAAAATATCTAACATAGTATCGTGATCGAAGCCGTGAAAAGTACTGCAAGAATATGATGAAGACAGCCAACTGCCGAGGAAGGTCAAATCCTCACGTCACTGTTCTGATGCCTGGAATTCGAACGAACCGCCTTATCGCATAAACACTATAACGAAATGATAGGGCGCC